GAACTACAAGGGAGGAGCTGGTCAATGACATGAAGAAAGCTGGGACCACAGTTTCAAAGGTCACTGTCAGTAGAACACTGAGTTATTTTTGGGCTCCATGTCATTATGAAGCCCTCTCTGAAAGCCAAACCCCTGCTGATGCCACAAGGTTCCTTTGACCAGAGCAAATTAACTTGGTTGAACAGTGTAAACTGGTATTGATACATGGAATGGTAATTATTAGCAACTCTAAGGAATGAAGTAACAGATATAGCAGAAGTTCAATCAATGTTAGCAGACCTGCTTTCAGAAATTAACCCAATGTTTCTGACCTTAGGTGGTAGCAACTCCAGTGAGCTACAAGAACTAGCAGCAATGAGACTAGCTCAGTTTGGGCCCTCAGATTCTGATGGGAAGGTTTAAATATGAGGTAGAGGAGCGCTTTGACCAGGGTAGTCAATGTCCCTTTAAGTGCAGTAAGGACTCTCTGAGGCCCAGTTGGTGCACAAATAAGCAGGACGGTAGGTGATGTAGGTGATGGTTCCTGACAGGATTTATGCAAAGGTGAGGTAGAAGAAAGGACAAGAACTTTCCCTTTAAATGACACTTGACCTCCATGTTGTCTCCTTTAATGTGCTGGAAAAAAGAGCAGCTTTTTAGCAAATAAAGTGTTAAACTGGCAAATGGGGTTGTTAGCAAAAGGGCAGCTCCACTATAGAATGCGGTGACCAATGGCAATGGTGGTAGACGTTCCGTAAGGAGAACAGGCCAATGGTTCAAGGAGCACTGATGTGGTCTGGCCTGCACTGCGGTCAGCTCTGATAGTTTAACTGTGGTGTAAATGTGTTCAACAATAGTGGTTATGGGGACTAGGCCGCAACATGTGTTAACTGAATGCAATGTCCACAGCTGTGTGCAGGTAAAGTAGCAGGTATGAGGAGAATGTCAGTGTACTCTTGATTAACTGGTGTATGGGACTCTCTCACCTGACCTGTGGCTTCCAGCAGGTCCTGGCGGGTATCTCTCTCTCTGCAGATGGGGGGCCCCCCAAGGGTTCTCCGGCCTCACGTGCAGTGTTCCATCTGGTCACTGTCCTCTGGGTCACCAGATGGCAGACTGTATCACTGAACAAGGTGGCAAGGTCAGCGGTCAGTGGCTCCTCCTTGCTTCTCCTCTCTCTAGCTTTGTGGCCAGGTCCGGTTCTCTGTCAGTCAGCACAACTCTCTCTCTGCTTCTTCTCTCCAGCTCTCTCCTTTCTCTGACTTCTTGTCCAGTCTCCTGGGCTTCTGTATATATCTTCCCCCACCCACATGCCAGTACTTCTGGGAAATGTATTCCTCTGATACACTGCTCCTCAACAAAGTCATGCAGTTCAGCATACAAGGTCCATGGGGCTGCTCTGCAGAATGTGAGTGCCACTGAGCTTGCAGGACACTGTCATTTTGTGTTGGTTTTAACATCCTGCAGCTGACATTACAGCAAGGGTGTTACATATATACACACAATCAGGGGTGGACTGACCATTTGGAAACTTGGGCACTGCCCAAGGGCCCGGGGTCAGTAGGGGGCCCCATGAGATGCCCCTGGTACCTTTTTCATAGGCTTTTTTGAGTTTGGGCAAGGACACAGGGGCCCCATGATCCCCTATTGCCCGGGGGTCCCATGAGTTGTCAGTCCACCCCTGCACACAGTATATATTGCTGCCTTTGCTGAACTGTCTTCCTGGCTGCAAACAAGAGTTTTTCTGACGAACCGGAGGTGTCCCTGGAGATTGGTACGTTGAATATAGAGGTCTCTTTGGACAGCTTTGGAACCACCCAATTACGTGGCCTCATTCTCACAAAATCATGTAAAAATGTGAAGGTAAACAATAGGAATCAAGTAAATCCTGGAATTGAGAATGAGTTTCCTCATATGTAGTCCACCACAGTGGCATATCATCCATGGGTGCAAAGTGTGTGATTCAATACATTGCACCAAATTTAATAACCATTTGCGCCACTTTTCTTCCCATCTGCAAGTTGTGTGTCAAATTCAGCTAGTCCTGATTTGAGACACTTTATTATTTTGGCACATTGATTTGCTACAAATTCAAAATGAAATAACAACAGTTGGTCTCTTAAAAAAATGGAGCTGACAAACACCAACTCTCCTTTGGTGCACAGAGACATGGAGGTCAGAATAGAGTCTCAAAGATGTGTACATGTAAAGGTCTGTTGAAAAAAATAAAAGTGTCAGTTAGTGGCTGTGTTTTTGTCAGTGTCATTTAGACAGTGTCATTATTTATTCAATTATTTAATTAGTCATTCCATTAGTGCCATTTAACCACCTCATTACAGAACACTTTCACCCCCTTCCTGCCTAGGCCATTTTTCACCTTTCAGTGCTCTCACACTCTGCATGCCAATTGCTCAGCTTTTCAACACTGTACCCAAATTAAATTTTTTGCTTTGCTTCTTTTTTTTAAATTGTTATTATATTTTTAGTAATTTCATTTACAAACAGATAAAAAAAGAAGAACTCACAGAATATCATGCCATAAAGCATTTTACAATGCATAATTTTACATATTCTCTTCCCCCTCCAACCCCCTCCCACAACCACCAACCTCACTCTCTCTTTTCTCTTTTCCCTTCTCCTCCTGCTCTTCTATTGTTACTTATATTTTCCTTCTCTCCTCTCCTCTTGCTCATCTTTTTCCTTTTTACTTAAACCATCATTCCCTCATCTCTCCAATTATCTTTCTCTCTACTGTACACTCCTATCAATTCTGCATATCTATTTGAGGTTTTAAAGTTACACCATTCCCTCCATGTTTTCAGAAATGTTCCCATTTTATCTTCTCCACTATGATATAATTCCTCCATCCTATAAATATGTTCTACCCTATATATCCAATCTTTACTCTAGGGATCTCCTGACAAAACTTTGGGATCAATCCTTTTGCCGCATTTAATAGATGGAATGTCATCATATTCTTATATTGTTTCACTGTGAACTCAGTATTATGGAATAAACAAACCCAAAGATCTTTTAGAATATTAACTCCCGAGATCTCTTGTATTTGTAGTACAATTTCCTGCCAAAACTCCTGTATCCTAGGGCATTCCCATCTAATATGTGCCATAGTTCCCTTTATCCCACATCCTTTCTAATATAATAGTGAGTTCTGTGGTTGTTGCTTGTGTGCCACACTAGGTGTAATATGTGTAAGTGTAACCTGCGCAGAGGACTAATCAATTAGACTGGCTGCTGTACACATTTGTGTAATGGTGAATAGATATGTAAGTGCAAACATAAAAATTGCTGTGCTGCCTCTGCTGAAAAAGTATTAATTAAATTAATAAACTACCCTACTGCATATAGGGTCTCCACAAATAAGCATATATTGCAATGCCCTATGAGCTGACAAATGTATCCCTCCTGCTCAGTGACTAAATAATAAATAGGAAACCAATATATATACTCAAAGTGCTCAAACAACAATTGTGCTATAAAATGAATAATAGCAAATATACAATACCTTCAGACTATATGTACAATGAACGTATATGCAGAAGACAATATGTATGTGTATAAAAGTCCCAATCAATTTTCAAACATATAAAAGATTTAATGTGGAAAAAAACCTCATCCGCATCCACTGTGAATACTAGGTGATACAATAGTTAATCTTCTTAACCGTAGCAATCCTCTGTGTGAAGTGCTCCAATTAGTGCTCCCCCTCCAGAGCCTCACTCACCACAAATAACTGACCACCTTGAATAGTAGGTCAAATATTGCATTAGACGTTGCAGCACTCCCCTGCAGTAAGTTGGCCATCTCTGTGATCTTGATACCTCTATACACTGGTAACGGACTTCATATGTGAAAACACCTCAAGAACATCCACAGTACTCCACCGCCATAAAAACATCAAAGGGAAAATCTGTACCATAAGCTCTCATGACGACACTCCTCTAAGGTTTTGCGCTCTTCTTCAGTGAGGACAAAGTTATTCTGGAAGAACACGACCAGCATGGCGTGCAGAATAACTTTGTCCTCACCGAAGAAGAGCGTCACCTATTGACTCCGCGTATACGGAGATTCTGTCTCCGCTCCCTATTCTCCAGATCTTCTTGTAGAGATTGCAACTGGGACATCTGTTGTTTTAAAGTATGATTATCTTCCTCCAATTGCACATACTGCACCAGATCATCAAATTTGGTTTCTAGGTGATCTGTACGTTCTTCCACCAATGCTATCTCCCCTCTGAGTTCCTGAGCTATTTTCCCCACTGCCGCAGAAATAGTATGGGACAAACTCTGCAGAAGACCATGCAACTGTCAGGAATCTGGGTATGACCAGAAGTGTGTGGACTGACACAGGGAAACGCAGGCTTCAGGTATACTATAACAATACAATTTAATAAAGCCTAACAATACATAAACGCAGTGCAAAATATAACACAGTGCAACAAACCAAACCTTCAACAAAAAAACAACCATACATACAACACTAAACGTAGTCGGGCATGCCGGGTCGGTAACAAACGGGCAAACAAGGTACCAGGAGCAGGCGGGAGAGTGGTCAGGACTAGCTGAGGTCAGTACAGGCAGAGTTCGTGCAGAATCAGGGTAGAAGCAAGCAGGATCAGGATACCGGGGCCAAGCGAAACAGTACAACAAGGCACTGACTGCAGGTCAGGCCATTCCTTAAATACACCTCCTGCAATCAGCCTCAGGTGATGGCTGATTGCAGGAGTGAGCTTCTGGTTGCTGAGAGCACCCGCTGGCACTGCAGCCCACAAGGCAGGTGAGTCCCACCACCATTGGCGAGTCCATTCCTGACAGTACCCCCCCCAAGGAGCGGCCTCAGTACGCTCCAAACAGTCCTTAGTGGGCAAAATGTTCCACCGCCCGGGTCAGGTAACTGGCTGGATATCAGGGGCTGGCACATCAGGCTGGGCGGTGGGCGGAGGCACATAAGGCTGGGCGGCGGGCGGAGGCACATCAGGCTGGGCTGCGGACGGAGGCACATCAGGCTGGGCGGCAGACAGAGGCACATCAGGCTGGGCGGCGGATGGAGGCACATCAGGCTGGGCAGCAGACAGAGGCACATCAGGCAGGGCAGCGGACAGAGGTACATCAGGCTGGGCAGCGGACAGAGGCACATCAGGCGGCAGCAGCAGGCACACTGGGCCAACAGGCGAGGCAGCAGGCACTGGGCCGTCAGGCGAGGCAGCAGGCACCGGGCCATCAGGCGGAGCAGCATGCACCGGGCCATCAGGCAGAGCAGCAGGCACCGGGCCATCAGGTGAGGCAGCAGGCATGTCAGGAATGGACTTGCCAGTGGTGGTGGGACTCACCTGCCTTGTGGGCTGCAGTTCCAGGGCTGGCCAGCGGGTGCTCTCAGCAACCAGAGGCTCACTCCTGCAATGAGCCATCACCTGAAGCTGATTACAACAGGTGTATTTAAGGAATGGCCAGGCCTGTGATCAGGGCCTTGGTGTATGTTTCCCATGGGCCCCTGTACCTGCATCCTGTCTGCTTTCTGCCTGATCCAGATTCTGCTTCGATCCCTGACTCTGCATGAACTCCGCCTGTCCTGACCTTGGCTATTCCTGACTGCTCTGCCGCCTGCTCCTTGTGCCCTGCCTGCCCGTTTGCTACCGACCCGGCCTGCCCGACTATGCTTAGTATTGTTTCTATTGTTATCTGTTGGAGGTTTGGGTTGGTTTGTTTGCACTGTGTTGTTGTTTAGTCTTGCACTGCGTCTATGTTTGTTTAGTCTCAATAAATTGTCTTATTCACACTATACCTGAAGTCTGCGTTTCCCTGTGTCAGTCCACACATTTCTGGTCATACCCGGATCCCTAACAAGGCACCGGGCCATCAGGCGAGGCAGCAGGCACCGGGCCATCAGGCGAGGCAGTGGGCACCGGGCCATCAGGCGGAAAAGTGGGCATTGGGCCATCAGGCGAGGCAGCAGGCACCGAGGCATCAAGCTTGACAGCGGTCACCGAGTCATCTGGCAGAACAGCGGGCACCGAGACATCTGGCAGAACAGCGGGCACCGAGTCATCTGGCAGAACAGCGGGCACTGAGTCACCAAGCTCGACAGCGTGCAACAAGTCAACTGGCACGACAGCGGGCACCGGGTCAACTGGCACGACAGCGGGCACCGGGTCAACTGGCACGACAGCGGGCACCAGGTTAACTGGCACGACAGCAGGCACCGACTTATCTGGCAGAACAGCGGGCACCGAGTCATCTGGCAGAACAGCGAGCACCGAGTCACCAAGCTCGACAGCGGGCACCGAGTCATCTGGCACGACAGCGGGCTCCGAGTCATCTGGCACGACAGCGGGCTTCGAGTCATCTGGCACGACAGCGGGCTCTGAGTCATCTGGCAGAACAGCGGGCACCGAGTCATCTGGCAGAACAGAGGGCACCGAGTCACTAAGCTCGACAGCGGGCACCGAGTCACCAAGCTAGACAGCGGGCACCGGGTCAACTGGCACGACAGCGGGCACCGAGTCATCTGGCACGACAGCAAGCACCGAATCATCTGGCAGAACAGCGGGCACCGAGTCATCTGGCAGAACAGCAGGCACCGGGTCATCTGGCACAACAGCGGGCACCGAGTCATCTGGCATGACAGCGGGCACCAAGTTATCTGGCAGAACAGCGAGCACCGAGGCACCAGGCCAGACCACGGGCACCGAGGCACCAGGCCGGACCACGGGCACCGAGGCACCAGGCTGGATCGGGTCATCAGGCTGGATCTCGAACACCGGGTCATCAGGCTGGATCGGGTCATCAGGCTGGATCGGGCCATCAGGCTGTATCAGGCCATCAGGCTGGGTAGCGGGCACCAGGTCATCAAGCTGGATAGGATCATCAGGCTGGATCGGGTCATCAGGCTGGATCACGAACACCGGGTCATCAGGCTGGATCGGGTCATCAGACTGGATCGGGTCATCAGGCCGGATCGGGCCATCAGGCTGGGTAGCGGGCACCAGATCATCAAGCTGGATAGGATCATCAGGCTGGGTAGGATCATCAGGCCAGACCGGGTCATCAGGCCGGACGGGATCAGGGGTCGGGTCATCAGGCTGGGTAGCGTACACTGGGTCATCAGGCATCAGGGCATCAGGCTGAACAACGGAAGGCGGGTTCACAGACGGATACTGGTAGGATGGTACTGGTTGGAAAGAATTTTCGCCTTTTCCTGGTTTTAGTTACTGGAGCACTGTAAGTAAGCGCAGGTTTGTAAACGGATAGAGCAGCTGTAGGCAGAGAAGAGCTGGGGGATGGAACAGAGCAGGGAGCAGTTGCTACAGAGGACTTCTTTACAGGGTTAAAGGCAGGATAGGTGCAACGAGTGGGAGCAGGGTACTGACATGTGGTAGATAGCAGGGTATACTGGGCTGTCATTGGGGGTGCTGTTGGGAATGCAGGAAGAGAGCTTTGAGCAGAGGAATGATGAGAAGCAGGACTGGTTTGTCGCAAGCTGACTAAGCCTGGGTGTAACAAATCTGACCATGTCTGCAGTACGGGTCGAACAAAGCTCAGCTTACACAAAGCCTGTCTGGTCAAAGACTGCACTGCGTTTATACAATCCATTAGCACCTGTTGTGAACATGCTGAATAATGCTCTAAGAAGCCATCCACATCATTCTCTAATAACCATACCAGGGAGTCTACCTGGTCTGCACTAAATGGCGGCAAAAAGTCATCCCCTCCCTCAGGGGCACCAGACAAAGCCAACTCTGCACAAACCTGAATCAATGGCTGCACCTCAGAGAACTCTGTGCCCTGATCCACTAGGAAATGAGCGATCCGTATGCATTCTAGCAGCTGATCCCTGGCATACTCCTTCAGAGTCTGATAGGCATAATCTCTGTCATCAAAGACTAGCAGAGATAAATACACAACCTCATCAGGATGCATCCTTCCCAGCAACAAGCCAAGATGGCTTCCCTGTGCAGCCACTTCTGGTCAGGAATGGCCTTGTTGTAATGTCAGGAATCTGGGTATGACCAGAAGTGTGTGGACTGACACAGGGAAACGCAGGCTTCAGGTATAGTATAACAATACAATTTATTAAAGCCTAACAATACATAAACGCAGTGCAAAATATAACACAGTGCAACAAACCAAACCTTCAACAAAAAAAACAACCATACATACAACACTAAACGTAGTCGGGCATGCCGGGTCGGTAACAAACGGGCAAACAAGGTAGCAGGGGCAGGCGGGAGAGTGGTCAGGACTAGCTGAGGTCAGTACAGGCAGAGTTCGTGCAGAATCAGGGTAGAAGCAAGCAGGATCAGGATACCAGGGCCAAGCGAAACAGTACAACAAGGCACTGACTGCAGGTCTGGCCATTCCTTAAATACACCTCCTGCAATCAGCCTTAGGTGATGGCTGATTGCAGGAGTGAGCTTCTGGTTGCTGAGAGCACCCGCCGGCTAGCCCTGGTACTGCAGCCCACAAGGCAGGTGAGTCCCACCATCATTGGCGAGTCCATTCATGACAGCAACTTATCATCCAGAATGTCTGCTGTGAGATAGTGGACAGGAGAAGGGGGGGATAGTGCTGAGTGCTGCGTTACCTCCACTTCGTGACTTGTTGGATCATCAGGTTCTGCCACTGGGATGATGTGATCACTCAAGGCAAGGGATGCAGCTTGTAACATATATTTATCCAAATGTGTAGGCCGCAAATGCCTGGCGGGTGATGTAGGGTATTTCTAACGCCTGATTTTGCCCATGGGGATCTGCAAAAGATACTGAGTCTGGTACTTGTGCTCCTTTGCTGTAGTTGGCTAACGTTAGCTCTGGAGGAGCTGGAAGAGAGAGCGGTGAAGCGGAGCGAGGTCACTGTGTGACTGCCATCTTTAGCCTCCACACATGCGCCCCCCAAAAAATTTTATAGTAGGCTGTATGATGTAAAATCTAAGAACCCGAAAGCTACAGAGGAAGAAAAGAGGGAGAAATGGCAGGTATTTCTAAAGGCAGCTGACCTACCAAAAATAGAAGAAAAATTTATATTGTTAGAATAAGCAATCTCTCGGGAGGAAATTAATACGGCCCTGAAGATTAAAGCAGGAGGGAAGAGTCCAGGACCTGACCGGTATACGATGGGGTATTATAAGTAATCTAGAGACTTATTGGTCCCTAAACTCTGTACATATATGAATGCCTTAGGAGAGGGAATGGGAATAAGAGCAGAATCATTGCATTTGTATATAACGATCATCCTAAAAGAAGGAAAGGATAGCTCACAATGTGCTACAAGGTTAAAAGAGCTGATGCCGGAATGGATACACTTAGATCAAGTGGGTTTTGTCCCGGGAAGTGAAGGGAGGGATAATGGTCTATGAACAGTGCTCCTTTTACAGAAGGCAAAGAGAGAAAAGATACCAACAATTTTATTGTCGATCCACGCTTGAGAAAGAGAGGGTAGAAAGAGAGGGTAGACTGGGGTTTTGTGACAAATACCCTAGAGGCCTTGGGAATAGGGACTAAGATGATGAGTTCGATAAAGGAGCTTTATGACGGCCTGTCAGCGGCGGTTAAGCTAAATGGGTCCCTCTCGAGGTTTTTTAAGATGTACAATAGTAGAAGACAGGGATGCTGCTTATCCCCATTACTATTTGTTATATTATTGGAACCGTTGCTGGGGATGGTACGAAAGTGTCTAGATATAATGAAGATTATCTACGGAGTCTGTGCACTGCACTGGCCCCAATGGTTCTGGACATAGATTGGCTAATGGATAGGGCCCACTACTCTCTTGCCCCGAAACCTCCATTGGGCGTGAGACCAAGAGACATCATTGTCCGGTTTCATTACTATGATAGTAAGGAATCTCTGCTGAATTCTACGTTTAAACACGTCCTCGGTTGACTTTAGAGGGGAAAAAATTCAAATTTATAGTGATTTGTCCCCTATCACACTGTCTAAGAGATGTACACTTCGTCTGCTTACTCTCCACCTTCAGAAACATCGCATTATATACAGATGGGGCTTTCTGTTCAGGTTAACAGTAACCAAAGATGGCACTCAACACACAATGAGAGATCTTCAATAAGGAGAGGCGTTTCTACGTAACTTGGGCCTGCCCCCTCTCCCGGATGAAGCTTTAGTACTACCCTTACCCAAGCCAAGAGCGGTCAACACCCTAACAAGATGTGGAGCCCGGCAAGATCCAGAAACAAGACACGCCTTCTGATTCCTCAACGGTCTCCCGCCTCTTGGTCATCTCCTAATACCTGATGACGCCATGCAAACTGCAGCTGCTGCTGCTTTTTAAGACTCAATGTCTATAAACATGTTTTGCCTGTCAATTTTGATATCCTTTTTGGGATAAATCCAATACCCTATTGCAGGGCTTAAAATTTCAAGTCCTGAGCTACTAGCCAGGCCTTAAGAGTTACTCGCCACCAACAAACACACACAAACAGAGACACCTGTACACACACACAGACATGTACATAAACACACACATATACACACACACAGAAACACGTACACACACACACAGAGACACATGTACACACACACACACACACATATAGACACATGTATACACACACAGGTACATACAGACACGCATAAACACAGATACATCATGTACATACACAGAAATACACATGCACAGACACATGTACATACACACAGACACATATACATACATACACAGACACATGTACGTACATACACACAAACACACATGTACATACACACACAGACACATGTACACATACATACATGTACATACACGCAGACACATGTACAGATACACATATGTACATACACACAGACACATGTACATGCATACACAGACACACACAAACACACACACAATATAAAAAGTTGCAGTACTTCGTTGTTCACTCACAGAGCCGGGTACTGCACTCTAGGGGGAGGCAGAGAGCACAGCACACACTCCTTGCTTTGCTTTCACTGCGCTCAGCTATTAAGCAGTCTGACGGCTCCCTGTGCCAATGACAGATCCGGCCTGAGCTCCGAGCCTGCTCAGCAAGATGGCCTTGGGGGACACTGTAAGCCGTGTATCGGGGTGGGCTCCCCAGGATACAGTGAAGTCATGAACGAGGAAAGCAACCCCAACACCAGCTTTTGCCACAACAGAATTTTACTTAGATGTGGCAAATAAGCACAACCACAAATGCTGGAAACATACAATAAATTTACATACACCCAGCCCAAAGGCTGAGACCCTTGTGCTGCACGGCACGGCGCCTTCTGATGGATGAAGGTAGAAAGTGAAGTAATTTACCTACTGGTGGGCACAAATAAGCTGCCACACCTTACCTGTTATTACCCTAAAAGAGCAGGTATCAGTGTATGGGTGTACGGTATGGGCTAGCCTGCGGTGCAGCACAACAGCTTACAATCTTACACAAATCTACAGTATTCCCCCTCCCATAACTGGTCCTGTAGCACGTGCCTGAGTATTCCTTCTGAGCAAAACGCCAGTCTGGCTTGAGTTTGGGGGATGTTATCAGCTCTCCAATGTGAAATGTCACTTTAAGTTGTGGAGTCCTTCCAATAATCAGTAACAACACTTGTGGCCTGACACAAACAGAGACCCTAACTAACTAACTATAGGCCTGGACTCTGTCTCAAGGCGCCAACACTGAAATGAGGTGCGTGCACGATCTTACTGACCTGGGTCTGCTTTTCATCCGCTGGTGACTCTGAACAGAACAAATGTCTCTCCAACAAGCATGCGGTCTTGCCATATATGTTATATATCATAACATAAACCTTTTCTACAATCCTCAAATTCTACCCCACAATTCCCCAGTATATTCAAAATCTCCACAATGCAAAGTCCACGATGCAGATAACAAAAGTCCACCACGAGTCCACACTTATATAAAATCTTCAGGCGTTAAGCATTATCCCATTCCTCACTTCAAATCCAGGAAACCTCAAATAAAATAAACTAAATATAGTGCATTAACTTTATCAACAATCAAATACTGTGATCTGTGATACCATGCAAAAATTACTCGTGAAAGAGAAAAAAGAAAAAAAAAAAAAAATGTTATTTTAAATTACTATTTTTAGTGCATCTTATGTGTAAAATTATATAAATAAAATTAGGGTGAATACACCTACACAACCCACTCATGAGGTGAATCCTCTACACAATATCCAAACTTGTGTAAAAAGTGCCAACACTTCCATAAAATACACAGCAAGTGCTAAACTTGTGAGTATATATAACACTGTTCAACAGGTAAAAAGTTTTGGGCATAAAATTAGCTAATCTTACATAATTTTGGGGTGCTGAAAACGAAAATGACCCTAAAAAATGTTGATTGGCTCTAGTTTCCATGATATATTCACCCATCTAATGACGTAAGCCATTCAAAATTATGATGCAACTTCAGCTGCATATTGCGCAATTGATACTGGTGACCAATAGAAAATTGCATGTATACTGAGATGATGCAATATTAGCCTTTAATTGCATCACTTCACTGCATAAAAGCTGCAGTATCTGTAGCTGATTGTAGTTCGACAGCGTCTTTACATTTCGTTTTATGCTTATATAGGCTACTCAGTAATGCCTCGAACTTGTGTGAATAAAGCAGATAATTTCTGCTATATCTGCGGTGAAATAACTTTTATCTCACAAAAAAAAGAGGATAACAGGAACGATTAAGAAAGCCTACAACTTGTATTTTGGCTGCAAGATAGGAGACCAGGACAAGAGCTGGGCACCACATATATGCTGCAATTCTTGTGGGACGGCACTGGAGCAATGGTTGAATGGAAAAAAGGCATCTATGCCTTTCGCTGTGCCAATGATTTGGAGAGAGCCAACAGATCATGTTAGTAATTGTTACTTTTGTATGATGCCTCCAATTGTAAAAGGGCTAAATAAGAAGAAAAAGTTATCTGTGCACTATCCAAATATTCCATCGGCAATACGTCCAGTTCCTCATGGAGAGGGGCTACCAATTCCTAAAGCACCAGAATCCTTTGTGGTTGAGTCAAGTGAGGAAGAACCTGAAGCGTGTAGTCATCAACCGTCAACCTCACATGACCCAGACTTTCTTCCATCCACACCCACTGAACCACACCTCATTACACAAGTGGAATTGAGCGATCTTATCAGAGACCTGGATCTTCCGAAGAACAAGGCAGAGCTTTTGGGGTCAAGACTACAACAGTGGAATCTCCTAGCAAGTGATGTTCGTACGTCTTTCTACCGTCATCGTCAGAAAGATCTGATCCCATTCTTCGTCCAGGAAGGTGATATTGCTGTACGTAACAGTGTTCATGGTTTAATCTCAGCCATCGGCGTATGCTATGATCCCGATGAGTGGAGGCTGTTCATTGATGCTTCAAAGGCGAGTCTTAAAGCTGTTTTGCTCCATAATGGCAATCAGCTGCCGTCAGTTCCAGTTGCTTACGCAGTTTCAATGAAAGAAACGTATGAAAACTTGAAAGAGCTTTTAAGGTGCGTCAACTATGATGAACATCAATGGTTGATTTGTGGTGACCTGAAGGTGATTGCTATCCTACTTGGACTTCAAGGTGGATATACTAAGTACTGCTGCTTCCTCCGTGAGTGGGACAGTCGTGCGAGAGAAATGCACTATGCCAAAAGAGACTGGCCATTACGCCAGTCATTGCAGCCTGGAGAAAAAAATGTTAACTATCCAGCACTTGTAGACAGCAATAAGATCTTATTACCTCCATTACACATCAAGTTGGGATTAATGAAAAACTTTGTTAAGGCAATGGACACGAATAAAGCAGGTTTCAAGTACCTGATTAGCAAATTTCCAGCACTTAGTGCTGCAAAAATAAATGAAGGAGTCTTTGTTGGGCCACAGATTCGTAAACTTATTCATGATGATGAGTTTCTTTCTCTGTTGCGTGGAAAGGAAAAGGCTGCCTGGACAGCATTTGTGTCAGTGACATCAAATTTTCTTGGAAACAATAAAACACCAGACTACAAGAAAGTGTTAGAAAAACTCCTTTAGACTTACAAAAATCTGGGTTGCAACATGTCTCTAAAAATTCATTTTCTACATTCGCATCTGGATTTTTTCCCACCAAACTGTGGAGCAGTGAGTGATGAACACGGAGAGCGCTTCCATCAAGACATTGCAGCTATGGAAAGAAGATATCAAGGTAAATGGAGCCCATCAATGCTTGCTGACTATTGCTGGACAGTTGTAAGAGATAGCCCTTTCCTCAAATACAAGAGAAAAGCCAAGAGAAGCAAAACCGACACAAACTGAAGACAAAACTAGTGAGAATCCTAAGTATTAAAATGATTCAACTTAGCTTATGGCTATAATTTTTCTTGGTAATCCTATGCAATATATTATTCCATTTAGGCTTTGTTATGTAGTCAATATCACTTGCTTTATATTTGTGGAAAGACATCTATCTATATAATTATTGTGCATTATGTAGTCATTACGCCTATAGTAGAAAACTTTCTGTTTACAGAAAAACTAGAGCCAATTGACAAATTTCATTATATTTGAACTCAGAATGTGAAATTCATTAAGAAATGGATCCTTTTGTTTCCAAAACTGGCAAAAAATAAAAATTTGTTGAACAGTGATAATCTGCAATCCAATATAAGTGCCACCACTCTGGTAGGATTAAAAACTATTACCCTCTTTCATCTCTTATAAACATTTCAATACTCCAGCAGCTTTCTCCTTCCAAATCACTCAGAGCATTGCTCCCCGATCCTCACAGGGCAAGAAAGAGCAAGATTCAGCGGGATGTATAAGTAATACAAAGACATTTTTATTACTGCTTACATAAGAGAAACAAAAGACCATCCTGTTCCAGCACAATCATCAAACCAGCCTCAAAGATGGCCGTGCTCCTCCTTCCGGTTTTGCGTCTGACGTCACGACCCTTTTTTTTTTTTTTTTTTTTTTTATAAGTAATACAAAGAAATTTTTATTACTGCTTACATAAGAGAAATGAAAGATGATCCTGTTAGGGTCGTGACGTCAGATGCAAAACCGGAAGGAGAAGAACAGGATGGTCTTTCGTTTCTCTTATGTAAGCAGTAATAAAAATTTCTTTGTATTACTTATACATCCCGCTGAATCTTGCTCTTTCTTGCCCTGTGAGGATTGGGGAGCAATGCTCTGAGTGATTTGGAAGGAGAAAGCTGCTGGAGTATTGAAATGCTTATAAGAGATGAAAGAGGGTAATAGTTTTTTAATCCTACCAGAGTGGTGGCACTTATTTTGGATTGCGGATTATACAGTCAGGTCCATAATATTGGGACATCAACACAATTCTAACATTTTTGGCTCTATACACCACCACAATGGATTTGAAATGAAATGAACAAGATGTGCTTTAACTGCAGACTGTCAGCTTTAATTTGAGGGTATTTACATCCAAATCAGGTGAACGGTGTAGGAATTACAACAGTTTGCATATGTGCCTCCCACTTGTTAAGGGACCAAAAGTAATGGGACAGAATAATAATCATAAATCAAACTTTCACTTTTTAATACTTGGTTGCAAATCCTTTGCAGTCAATTACAGCCTGAAGTCTGGAACGCATAGACATCACCAGACGCTGGGTTTCATCCCTGGCGATGCTCTGCCAGGCCTCTACTGCAACTGTCTTCAGTTCCTGCTTGTTCTTGGGGCATTTTCCCTTCAGTTTTGTCTTCAGCAAGTGAAATGCATGCTCAATCGGATTCAGGTCAGGTGATTGACTTGGCCATTGCATAACATTCCACTTCTTTCCCTTAAAAAACTCTTTGGTTGCTTTTGCAGTATGCTTTGGGTCATTGTCAGCTCGAAAGAGCAGGGCCCTCGAACCCCTCGTGTATTGTATTGTTACTGTCTTGTCTCATGTTCTGTGCCCCTTGCTACTGTACAGCGCTGAGCAAACCCTTTGGCGCTATATAAATACTGTATAATAATAATAATAATTGTCCATCTGCACT